CACCTCACAACAAGTCTTGCCTCAACCGATCGCCCACAAAAGTCCCGAAGATCGGCTCTATTAAACAGGAACCACCGTTGCAAGGCTGTCATCCTCAGAATGACCTTCAGTGCGCGCCTATCTTGCTCGTATAGCTTCTGCATCTTGGTAAAGGCGGTTTGAACTCCACATAAAGAGCGCATAACATGGAGGCGAAATCAAAGCAATCTTTCAATGACTGTCGCCAAGTTCGTGTCTTTACTTCCTCCACAGTAGCAGAGACTGTCCAGGGATTTTAAAATAAAAGCTACGTCTATGCATTTTGCCATTCCCACAACACTAAATAATACACGGTCTTTGTTGCCTAGTTCAAGTTATCCTCTCTTGCGCTTCCATCCAATTCTACACACAGAAACCAAAATGTGCGTTGTTAATATATAGCAATATAGTGTTTCATTATATTGTCAGTCTATTTTATCAAAAGATCTCAACCCCGGTACCACGTATCGTCTTCAAAGAATCAGATTACAAGTTTAACAGTAAGCATAAAGTAATAAAATAATAAAATAAGATACTATTTAAATAAGTTGATGTTCTGAATCAAAAAGATTAACATAAATAAACATTTAAGGAAAAACTTTACTCTGTCAACAACTTCCCACTCGATGGGATAAGCAAAGAGATCATCCTTTGCCGTAGGGATATGATCAATAATCTTCTTTATGATCATTTTTTTTTCTTCCATAGTCAATAAAGAAATGGGCGGTGAAGCTTTTTTCCGCTCGCGCTGGCGCTCTTTTTCTTCCTCGTTCAAATCAATATTATCTTCCTCATCATCACCTCCACTAACACCATCTACGCCAGTAATGCTAGAGGCCTTTGTTGCAGCAAGATCATCCGCATCCGTGTCTCCTGTGGCAGAAGGAGGCAGCCAGCTGGGTTTATACGAGGCCCGAGGTCTTTCTTCTAATTCATCCTCCACGAACTCAGGCTTCAATTTGCGTTTTGGCTCACCTGTAAGACGGAAAGTAAATAGGAAAGTAGAAATAAAATATAAAATCTTGTTTGATCGAAGATATGAAGACCAAGATGGTGTGGCCTTTTGTGTGGTCGCAGTCTCCTCTCGTTGTATATAAATTGTTTGACCTTGTTTACGCAACTTGGTCATAATGGTAGGAAGACTGATAAAAACGCACCTTGTCCTGAGTCCATTCTATGCATAATTATTTCCAGAGTCGGACCGTGGACGTGGTACATT